GGGTTGTTTTTCCTGTAAAAACGGAGGCACTGGGTATGTGCCTTATAAGGTATGTGCCATTTCATACAAGAGACTTCAGGGATGGGGTCTGTTAGTAAAAGAAAAACACTAAGTATTGAGAACCTTGAGTCAAGGTGCTAGAAAAAAGGACAGGTAACCCTTAGGATGGATAAAATAATTCCACTAAACTGGGACATTTTTTGCTACCTGGGGATATCTTTAAACAGCCTTACCACACGTAAAGTAACCATGGCCCTTGTCTAAAACTGTCGGTGTTATTAGGAACCTAAGTCTCTAAGCCCAGCTTTCAGTGGGCTGCAGTGACATGCACGTCATCTACTTAGTTCCATTTGCTCCCTGACATCAGAAGTGGAGGGTCACTTTTACGCCACACTAGAAGAAGGTTACATAATGTGACAGAAAATGTTTTAAAATGTAAACATTTAAATTTTTAAAAAATGTATTACAGTAAAAGCTATTGCCATTAATCCCTCTTAAAATACTCCCTCTGGCTTTGACAGTCACCCCATTGTTCTTGCTGCTTTCTGAGGCAGTTCTGCAAATCCTCTTTCTTAAGTGTCTTTAGTTGCACTGTTACATCGGCTTCAGTGTCCCGCCTTGATTCAAAGCATTTACCTTTCATGGTCATTTGGACTTTCTCGAAGGGCTAGAAGTTGCCTGGAGCTGGACCCAGTGGATGCGGTGGATGAGGACACACTGTCACGTTTGTACCAGCCTGCCTCTCCCTCTGATGGCACTGGGCACAGCGCTCACCCTGTATTTGATCTCACACACCTCATAGAGATAGGAAAGAAAACTTCCAGAACTGCTTCAGGAAGTGGCAAGAACGATGGGATGAGTGTGTTGGAGCAAGGGGAAATATTTTCAGAGGGGATAAATGGCAACCTGTCGTTTAATATATTTTTTACTGAAAAATACCAGATTTTTTGATCAGCCTTTTGCAAACTGTCAATCTAGGCGGGACCAGGAGAGAATTCAGTTGAGAGATCAGTGGGCACTTCTGTGATAAGCAAAACTGTCTGAAAAGAGAAAACTGAAAAATTCAGAGCCCAAGTTAAATGGGGTCCTCAATAGTGGCCAAGACGCTAATGGAATAACAGAATCCTAATCTGGAGTAAAAGTCAAATTGGCATATAAAATGGAAATGAAGTATCATACCAAGAACTGGGAGGAGTAGGGGCCCAGGAGCTAAGATAAAAATTTACTGAGCAGTTTATTGCTCTATTAATTGACTGTCGCTGGTGTAGCAGCAAATCAGCAACAGGGGTTCTGTAAAAGTGTACTGTGGGCTCCGACAGCAGCTTGGATCCTAACAAACCTCCTTCAGGCCCATGTCTTGGCGTGGTCTTTACTCTGGCAAAGTCCTAGCCTCACGAGGTCTTCTGTTCACACAGGAACCACCATTCACTCACCTCGCCCCCTCGGTCCGAGTCACAGAGCCTGTTCGCGTCATCACAAAAGGCTTCAAGAGCCTCCAGCAAAGGTTTAAGTAATTCCCAAGGACGACTCAAGAGGTTTAAATAATCCCAACTCAGGGACCTAGAAAAAAACTATTTAAAGCAGAGGACTTTTTGTAAACTCTTGGCCTAGAAAAACTGGGCCAGAGCTCACTGGTTCACTGAGTTATTTACTTAAACCACTTCCCATCCTTCAGGGTCAGCCTAAGACAAGAAGGTGGAGAAAGTGGGGAATAGGCCTCAGGGAACTTCCAGCGTGTGTGTGTGTGTGTGTGTGTGTGTGTGTGTGTGTGTGTGTGTGTGTGTGTGTCGGGAGGAGGCTAGGGTGGGCATCAGCCGGGGTAATAAAACGTTACGGGCTCTAGCACAAAAGTCTGTCCATGGGAAAACAGGGAGATAAAGAGCAAGACAGCAATAGGCTCTACACAAGTGGGGGATCACAAAGTTTTTAGAGAAAAGGTGGCCCTTTAAAAGGTAAACGGGGCAAATGAGGCCATTAATACCTATTACATAAAACAAAGTCACATACAGGTAACTTGTGCTTCACTACAGAAGAGTGACATCTCTTTAGGGATGTGTAGGGTAAAAATGAGTTTTCACAGCCCCCTTGCTTCATTGGCCTCTTTGACAACTGCATATAATCAGTTGTCATGCTAGCAACCAGTAGCCAAATATAGAACTAGCAATTGGCTCAGAGCATGAGGCCACCTTCATGAGGGTTTTCATACCTGTTGTACATGAAGGTCCGATTTGTGATTTGGAGATATAAATATATATTTTTTCACATATAAATATATATGAATATTGCTGACCATACAGATTATTGGCAGTTATCTATTATCCTTAGAGGATCTTATTTTGTTCCTGGGCCACTCACAGCCACCCACACTTAAATTATTTCGAATACAGTTATTTGGTAGCTCATGAACTGCAAAGGGAGAGTTTTAGTTATTGGAAATAAAACTTCAGCTACCGCTCTCCAGTGAGGATTGTAATCCTCAGACGTGTCCACACCAAGGTACATGGCCCACACATCCCTGTCTTGAGCAGCTCACTCTGGCAGAGATCAAAATTTTAAGAGGATCATGTAGCAAAACTTCACCCACAGACCAATTCAGGTCTGGTCACTGGTCTCTGTGATCGAATCCTGCTAAACACTAACCTTTGTTAGAGAGTTACTTACAGCCTCAAAGCAAGTGAGCCTTGGTAGGCCCTGATTCCTTGATTAGGAGCTCAAAGCACCAAGGCTGTTGGCAAATTAACTCACCACTAACCTCTGCAGCCTGTACACTTCGTTGTTAGAGAAACGTTTCTATTACGCATTACCCCCAGTAATATTTACACCTTTCCCTTTAGCCTTCCAGAAACTCCTGAGTGCCTTTGGCGGGTCACTTCAATCTCTAGCTTATGGTCAAGGGTTCCCTCTCTTTACTTGGTCCCCATTGCTTTCCCTCTGGAATGGCCTCCCTCATGGCATAGTTTGTCAAAAACCTCTAGATTTAGTGGGGAGCAGCTTTATTTGAAAGGGTTACTGCAAGGGGGAGAGAAAGGCAGAGACCGTTCCAGGATGCAGAGGTGAACTGTCATAATAGGGAGGATGCTTGGATCGTGAGATTTACAAGTATGCCAAGAGGTAGGCACAGGAGGTTTTCTTTTATAGGAAAGTGTGAGCAAGGCTAGCAAACATCTGCCGTGTGGCAGTCAGATGACAGAGTGGCACGCCTGGGTAGTATATCAAAGGAGTTTCACCCTGAAGTCGGCTGTTCTCAGGAGGGATATTAAGCAGAAGCAGGGATGCAGTTTGGTGAGTCTGTTGCTCCAACCGTTCAGAGAAAGTAAGCAGACCGGCTAACATGTGGGAGGTGAAGCATGAGACTTCAGAGGACAGAAGTCTCGCCTTGTCATAGGTGAACGATTGGGCACCTGTGTGTCTTACCTACGTCATTCAGGAAGGGTCGTTTGTTGACAACAAGCTGTTTCCAAAACGCAAGGAGGTGGGAGGATTTTTTTTTTTAATCTTTGCTGTTTTCCAAGATCACACAGTTAAAGTTCAAAATTATACACTGATTGCAATCAAACACCAATTGGCATGGATGGGACTGTTAGGAAACAGAGATTTTAGTACGAAGTTGGAATAAGTAGAAAGCTCTCCCTTCCCAGGGTCTGGAACTGGTAGTGTCTTAGATATGGCTAGTCTAGATAAAAGGAACAATAATGATTCAAGTCAGACCAGGATTCAATCTGAATACCACACATAATTCTAACCCTCTCTTCTGAGCTTCTAGCACTAATGACCTGGCAGATCAGCTCTCCTCCTGTGTTCTCCCCTGGTGATCTACAGGGACTCCCCAGACATGGCTCATCCACTGCGTTAGCCTCTCAGCCATCTACTAATTCTTACTCTAGAGTCACAGGTGACATGAAGTGAGCATGAAGAAAAGTCTACAGCAGGACAGTAGAGAGAATCAAAAACCAGTCTAAAGAGGAAAATCAAACTGTTTTCTTTTGCAAATACTACTAAGGTAAATAGCACCCTGTAGTCGGAGAACCTGCTTGTGGCTCAGAAGAGGCAAAAAGGTCTACTTTTTCCTCTTTCTTCCCACAAACTCAGAATAGCAAAGAAATGGACAGAGATTTTGGAGACAGGCTCTGGCCTGGGCTTCGAGTATTCTTAGGCCCAGAGAAGAAAAGACTCCTTCCAAAAGCAATATAGGAGTCAACATATCATTGATTAAGCCAGAAAGGTTCAAAACATACTTTTCAGAAACTCTCTTCTACTTTGCCTCAACCCAAATGAAATCTATTATTTGCATAACTAAGAATTAGCCGATTAGACTGGGGATTTAGCTCAGCAGGTTCGCTGCCTGCTGCGCAAGCACAAGGACCTGAGTTCAATCCCTGGTACCAAAAAAAAAAAAAAAAAAGAATTAGCAGATTAATGAAAGAAAATATAATAAGGAGATAGTAGCTGTTATTATTTTGTCTGAAACAAAAGAAATATTTTGTGATGCCCATTCCAGGTTAAAATCAGGTTCAAGCCCCACAATTGCTAAATTTAACATTCTTTTGGAAAAATAGCATGCAAAAATGATAAAAATAAAGCCTGTAAGTTGGAAACTGACTTTACTACTACAAATCATAAGCATAACTTCTAGTTGACTTGTATTGGGCAAGAATCATATATTTCAGAGCCATGTTCATCTATTTATCACAATATTTTATATGGCATATGGAAACTAATACATTGCTTCATTACTATTTGTAGTCTTTCTCTAGTTATGGCTTAGCGGTATTTAACACTCTAAAACATAAGCATTCATAACTACATATTTTATATTTTACTCTACTTTTTAATGCTGCCAAGATTATTTAGCAGAGCTAACTTTTTAATCATGTGCTCTTTCCTCTGTTAACATTAGCATATCAATCAAATTTGCATTATTCTGCTTTGCTCATTTTATTAAAAACGAATTCAGGGCACAATTGACTTTTCATTTGTTTAACAAGTGAAGAAATATTTACCCTGACAGCCATTGCATTGTAGAGCTCCATCTTCATAGTATAATATGCTACCTGTGAATCAAGCGGGAGAAAAGATGACATACATTTCAGTTACACAAAGACATTGAGGCCCATTTTTACCTATAAAAGATAGGAATCTTTATACATAATACATAATAAGAGTTCTAGGCTTAGAAAAATGAAATCAAACTTTGCAGTGAAGAGATAGGCTTCCTAATACATAATGCAAGCTTAACCAGGAAAATCTGTGGTAGTCAAACTGGGAGCTAATGGAGATGTATGATCATAAAATGCTCTCCGCTGAGCTTGATAATCAATGGTGCTCTACTGAGAATAGAATAACAAAGCAGAAATATTCACAAGTGCTGGTGACATGCAGTATTGTATGATTTATTCACTGGGGTTCTTTTAGCCAAAACTCACAGAAACATAAAAAGAATTCATATTTCAAGACGTCTGGTTTAATGAAAAATTCAAAGAAATGCTGTCTTCAGTCGAAATCGTTCAAGGATATGGATGCAGCGATGGAGCGAAATTGTGCCTTCCAACCATCTATGCAAAATGTTATGTACTCAGCTGCCTCCTGAGTAATCCTTGGGAATTCTGTTTCATTTAATATTCATTTTAACACCATAGAACCATAAATACAATGATACCTTCTTACAGCAAATCCTTGGATATAGTGAAGACTTCCTAAAGTCTGTTTCTTTCTTTTAAAGACACATTTCTCTATTAATATACAAAATGCCCTTAGAGCAAATAATTATTTAGCAATGTAGATCATTTCAACAAAAGTATGGCTTTAAATAAAGCTTCCACATCTGTTGTATCTTTTAATTAAAAATGCAAAATGAACATAATTTGTGATAGTACAGTGAACAGTAAAAGCAATGAACAACATCATTTTTCAACAGAATACACAACTTTTTCCATTTTTATCAAATCAAAATTCATTCAACCAAAATAACTTCAGCCCGGCTATTGAGGGTTGTGTTTCAGACAAAAATGGGGAAAAAGTGCCTCTACCCTTTATCAGGGGATTTTCCTTCTCCATAGCAAACAGGAATTCACATAAAAGCATTGCCTTGTAGTGTTGTTTGCGTTGTCTGCTCTGATCCAAGCAAATTGTCTGTGGAGAGCAGTGGTGCTGGATTATTTAGCAACAGTCTGAGCAATTAAGAAACAGTTGGCTGCAATATGTTATTTACAAATGAATGCAATGGTGTCACTTCATTTCAAATTCTCTTTCCTACATTAAGCAAGGTCTAACTCTTGGAATTTGAGGTGATTTGAAATATTTATTTTAATTATTGTGTTTCTTCATGACATACTGAAGCGCATACTGGCTTTAGATAGTTTTATAAAGAAAAAATACTAGAAATTATATATTCCTAAGAGTTTGGGCTCAGCAAAACTACATTTGTTATCTTTTCATACCATTATTCAGGTAAAAGGAGACAGTGTATGAGTTTTCAAGTTATAGACCTGAGTTCAGTCCCTAATTTTATTTATATGAGCAGTGGCTTTGAAAAACTTACTTTAAGTCTCTCAATCTTGATGTCCATGATTACAAAAGACTGCATTACATGCTTCATGAAGACTAAACTGAGATAAAGCCAGTAAGGTACTCGGAACACAGGTGACAGTCATTATGAAAGGGTACAAAAAGTATGTAACACAACTATAAGTCAAATTCCAAAAAGTACTAAGGGCTAAATTTTATTATATTATGAACCAATGGGAAAGAGAGAGATAGCTTTGGAGCCTGAGAATTCTGAACTCTGTATTTGGAGATGGAAAAGCACTTTGATTCCAGCATATCAATCTCAAATACACCACTAATCGATATTTATTCTCAATTCTTTAGTCTGGATGCCGTTGAAAGTACCCCCAAAACGTGTGACACAGGTGATCTATGATGTCATTTATATAATGCACCCACAATAGTCAAATTCATAGACAGAAAACAGAATAGAGGTCAGCAGGAGCTTGGGAAGTACTGAGTTACTGTTTAATGAAGACAGCTTCAAGCTGAGATGATGGTAAAGTTCTGGAAATATACAGTGATGATGGCTGCATAACAGTGTGAATCTAGGGCTGAGGATTTAGCTCAGTGGTGCCGCCATCTACCTCAAAAGAGCAAAGTCCTGAGTTCGATTCCCGGTACCCCCCCCCAAAAAAGTGTGCATCTATTTAATGCCACTAAATAGTACAGTTAAAAAGGTTAAAACTGTCAATTTTATTTTATAATATTTTTTAAAACACTAAAAATATGTGACTATGAACTGTGCATTTCTATAGAGATAAATTTAGATACATTAACATTTTGTAAAATTTCATCTAAGTCTTTGTTTCTCCACTTTGAGTAATGATGATTCTTTGTTATATTAATGTTTATCCTTTGGTCATATGACTAGTTAAAATATAACTCATACAAAAGCTCATGGTTTAAAATTATTTGCTATCCTAAAAGTTTTTTTTCTTTTTTTTAATTGCATAGTTAGGTAAACATATGGTAGCTACTAAATGTTAATAGCATGTCCAAAAATGACAAGATGTTGTAATTTCTCAGCAGAAAAACTTTTATTTTCCTCACATCTAATGAGTAAAAGTGAACAAAGCTCGACCTTCATTTTGTGCCTGTCTTCTTTACTAACTTAAAACTTGGGGTCAGATCCTGACCCCTCTGCAGATAGCCACAGCAGTCACTTAAAGACTGTCCAAAAACTGGCAGTATGGGTTGACAAGCCCTACGTTTACATGACTTACCGCCTTCAAGACTGGGGAAATCCAGTTAAGAGACTTACAGGGATATTCAACTACCCATGGGCATGTGGAAGCCTCTAGTTGCTCCCCTAAACCTACGGTCATCTCTAATTCCAGCAGAGAGCCTCCAAAAACCTAAGACAGCTCATGGAGACTAAACTCTGCCCCCTCAGGAGAGAAGGACTTCTTGAAGTTCCCTGGAAAAGCAGAACGAAGATAAGGATTCGCCAGCCTCTAGCAGTCCTGCACAAGCTCTCACAAACTGGCCTCCCTCCTCTGGCAACTGACCAGTCTCTTCTTTACGAGACCTGAGGGCCCTTCCACTCCTCAAGAGCAGAGCCCAACTAAATCAGCCCACCCCTCTCACCGAAGTGCCTGAAAAACTTCTCTGCAACAATGTGTCAGGAGTCCGCCAGTCAGTGTTGAAGCCCCTGTGTCTTCTTCAGAAAGGCTTCGCTGTCCTGGCCCAGTGACGGCACCATCAACCTGAGTGAAAAGCTAGCGTTCTCCTAGACATACTTCCAACCAGAAGGTCATATGTCTTTAAAAATAACAACAAAACAAACAAAGAACTTCGAATCACAACCTTTACTGTTATCTCTTGCATTTTGCTGTCACTGTCTTTTCTCCGGCCTTTGGGTGCACACCATTCATTCCTTGACATCTTGCTCTTCCCAACCCGTTCCAATTGCGGGGTGTAAATATTCTGGCATCGAGCCAGGTCCTGCTCCTCATCAGAACTCCTGCCGTCATCCACAGACTTTCCTTGCTGTGTGAACAGCGCAGTCAATTACCTCAGCTCACAGTCGCCTGGCTCTCTCAGTCCCAGCACCCTCCCACATTTCAGTTTAGCCCTGCATTCCCATCCCATCCTCCGGACCTAGCCAACTATAAATGTTTCACTTCCTGTCTTAAAGCAGGAGTGCAAATTCTTCTGTTTAAATCCCCGGAGGCTAAATTTCCATTAAAAGATTCTTCCAGCTAATTTTGACAGCTTTCTCCTTTTTTTCAGCTTCAAGTTCTTTTTTTTTTTTTTGGTACGGGGGATTGAACTCTGGTCCTTGCGCTTTCGAGGCAGGCGGCGGAACCGCTGAGCTAAATCCCCGGCCCCAGCTCCAAGTTCTTTATTCACATACTCTTATATATAATATAATATGCATGGCTACTTGGTACTTTGTTCTAATGAATACACAGTAAGATATTTAATCTTTCCTTTATTGGTGAGCATTTTGACTGGAAACCAAGAAAAGGGATGTTTCAAGGGGAAAGGGCTATTTCAGAAGTAGACTATTTAAAGGAATATGTAGTCATAATAATTTTGAATCTGTAATTGTCTGTATTAGTTAGCTTTCCTATTGCTGAGGCACAATATCTGATGTGCAGAAATCTTAAAAGGAAAGGTTGGATTTAGTCCACAGTTTCAGGAAATCCAGTGCATGCTCAGCAGGCTCCGAGGCAGGACCATCGTGGCGGAAGGGCGCTGCTCTGTTGAGCTCAGCTGGGGAGCAGAGCCGGGAGCCCCACCTGAGAGGAAGGGGTAAGGAGGGGTACACTGTACCCAAGGCCAGGCTCCGGCGCCTACCCAGACATAGCCAGGGTCGTGTTTTAGGAATCTGCTAGGAATTTCCTCATCTAATGAAGTTGATGTATCAGGATTAAGTCACAGTATCTACAAAAGTTTACCAAATGCAATAGTTACGTCTGCTAGTTTGGGTCGTACCGAGGAGGTACCTGCATTAGCGCAATGGCCAGGAGACATTTAGAAGCCGCGCACACAGGCCACAGGTCTGAGTGCAAGTCTATATTTTCCATACCACTGCCACTCTCAGCATTTTATTATCAAGTAATCACAGTCGTCTGTGTGTATGTTTTGCCTTCTTTGCTGGTAATTGCTAAGAAACTGCAAATTTTTTTAACTGCCTTTCTTTTTCCGTACAAAAGAAAAGTAAAAGCTAATTATATTTTTTTTCTCCATTACTCTTCATATAATGTTTAGGAGAAGGTGAACCAAATCTAAATTCATTTCCCAATTATGGTGAAAATGTTAATAAAATTTTAAATTAATATTAATAACGCAAAGTATTATTTTGTCCTGGGTTTGATGTTTATTTAAAATGCAAGGCTCTGAAGGGGAAAAAAATAACACATACTTCAGTTTCGTACTTTGACATTAAAAGGGGAAAAATATTGCCTTATTTTATTATAAGAGTCTTTGAAGTCCTATAAAGAGAAATATCAAAATATGTGGGTATTTTTCCGGTATAGATGAAACATGTATTCATCTA